CACACACACACACACACACACACACACACACACACACACACACTGTCTTATGCATGCCTGCTTCTCTTTTTCTGTATTGATTTTGGAGTTTATAGAATTGATTTAATGTCTCTGTTGTCAAAATAGATGACTGGAAGTTTAATCTAGTTAATAGTCAAAGCATTAACTTTTGTTTCTTAAAAACAAGTAAGATGAATAATAAAATTAAGATAAAATTGGTGTCTAATGCTGATTTTGATTACTTTTTTTTTCTTTTTTTCCCCTGTAGCTGGAAGAAGCCTTCTCTGCTCTGTCTGATCTTGCACCTCCTCAAGGGTATCATCCATCTGCTGTGTATCCTCAGGATCAAAGGCTCTTGGTGGAGAGCCGCGAAGCAAACCGCACAAGGGAAACCCCAACCCGCTCATCTTCCTCAGTCTCCTACGTTGCGTCCAAAGGCTCAGACAGAGACAGGAGGAGGGACCGAGAAAGAGAGAGAGAGAGAAACAGAGAAAGAGACAGAGACAGAGAAAGAGACAGAGACAGGGACAGATTGAGAGACAGAGACACAGATGACAAAGTGCGGGAGAAAGACAAAAAGAAGAAAAAACACAGAAGGAGGTCGAGGTCACGATCGAGGTCGAGATCGAAGAGCGGACACACCCTGCCCAGTGCCTACAAAAGAACCCGGAGGTCCCGGTAAGATCCACATCCACAGGCTGACGTAAACCCTGACCATGATTTAGTGGACTGTGAWAAGGAAAACTTAACGCCTGCATCCAATTTCTGTCTTTGTGTGCTAATTTGTGTTCCCCACACAAAGCAATATGCAACAAGATTTATGTATTTATTTGTAGAGTAAAGATGTGGCCTGGCCACAGTCAAGTGTTGCAATATCCTGTTTTACAAGATTTAGTTTGATTATTCTTCAGCTTTTTGTTTTGTTCTTGGTGTRCCTTTCTGTTTTTGTTGTTAGAAAGAGTTTAATTTCCTATGCTGTTTCTTTTACTGATTTATGTTTGCAAATGACATGGATACTAATGATGTACATGCTTTTCATGCTATCCAGCAGACAAAATGAAATTAGCTTTGCCCTTTGTAGAAAGAAACCTAAAAGGGTAATTAATCTCTTAGACTATCCATAAATATTTAATACAGTATTTTTAGTGGAGCCTCTACAATGCCATATATTTATTCTGAAAATGAGGGTGTAATATTTTTCACTAAACTAATTAAAATTCTGAATTGCAGAGTATTTAAACAGTGTTTAACTCCAACAATATAAATTATGCCAATCTCAGTTCTAAAAATCGTATTAAACTCTACCCATTGTTTTGTGGTTTGTGGTTGCTCTCTTTTTACTAGCTTCTCTCATATTCTGCCATATTTTATTTAACGCTCACTGCCTGTTTTTACGTTTTCTTTGTCCTTTTTGGTCAGATCGCGTTCACACTCCCCAGGGAGAAGAGACAGGAGGGGCCACTCTTCAGAAAAGAGACTGGAGGAGAGAGATCGTTACCATCGCAGCAGTAGCTCCAGCATGCCCAAGGGTCATTCCAGATCCAGGTAAATTTAACAGCAGGTGGTAACAGCATGGGCTCAGAGAACAGTCATAGATCTTGACATTCAGGTTGTTTTTTTTTTTTTTACTTTTTTTTGTACCACTGAAAATATTTATTATTACAAATGGTAAAACTGAAAGGCGCTCTCGTACAGACGTTTTGTTAGGTCTTTGCTTTAGTTCGGAATTATAATTGCAAATTATTAAGAGAGCATAACTTTCTTTTTTTTTTTTTTCTTTATCTCCTAGGTCCCCTACTGAACATAAAAGAAACTTATTAAAAGGGCAAATTCAAGCTGCAGGTTCTTCCGTCTCACCATATTCCTCACCCAGACTTATGTCCCCATCACCTAGTCCTGCATCCAGCCTGGGCCACTCAAGGTAACGCTCATCCAGCCACTCAGTAATCCAGATACATTTACATGAACTATATCCGCAGGAAATTCAATYTATTATCACTGAAGAATGACATGACAGCCTTAAATCTGGCAAATCTGTGCCAAAGAAATTTGCTGTTAGCGAGAAACAACAAAAAWACTTTGGTAAAGACGAGCCTGGTAATCTATCATCAAAGTTAGGATTATAACTAATCTATATGCAGCCTTTTGCCAAGTCCAAGTAACATCTTTACTTCTGAATTCTGCAGCTTTTTTTACAAGATACTTATTGTTTCTTCCAGAACTATGTTTAATTAATGATATGTAGAAACAAGAAATAATTTTACATATTTTTGCTCGGGAATTGGAATAAATTCAKAACCCAAGAGGGAATTTTTAAGAACAGAAATACTGATCAAAAATTGAAACCAGCATCAAAAATGTGGTTACATAATACAATACAAACAGTGCCCAGACTGTAGGCTTCATATTTTATCTGTCATGGCTCGGTCTAAATGTTTTATTCTCTTTTTACAACAGATTATAGGAAACATAATGGCTCCTCGTGTTGCTCATGTCCACTCAACCTGGTGCCTATACACAGTTTTGTTTTTGTTGATTTTAAAAAGTGCATCTTTTTTTTCAAACACCTATAATGACAAAGTGATATTTACTTTCAAGTGAAAATTGTTTTGATCAAGAAAAATTGATGTCTTTTAAGAGCCCTGATTATTTGGCTTTTTTAGTGTCATTGTATTTTTTTTATTATTATTCATCTTGAAAAGTTTTACTTACACTTTGAAGTCAATAAACCACATTACTGTGCGATTCAATGAGACTGGCTTCTCTAAATMTAATGTCTAAAAAAGCCCTGTGACATCTGCTGCAGGCTACTCTGCAGTTTCTTGTCACCTGTTACGTTRAATCAACTCGATGCAGACGGTTTTCTTTTCTCTCTCTTATCACCTTGATGAATAATGAAATGTTTGACTGTAAAGCAGAGAGAATAAAACACATGGACTGAGCTGTGATGTTAAATTCAAAGTGTGCAGTTTTTGTGTTTGCATTGTTAGRCTCACGTTTTGATGGTGGTTTCAGCCTTCGGTGGATATTTCTCTTCTTTCAGGTCACATCTTCTATTTTTGTTCTTTGACTCTTTCCTTCTCGTCGTGCTGCTCTTGATGCCTGTCCAACTTGAGCATTTTCGAAATATCATGCATATTGTATAAACTCTGCTGTTAACACAATTGATTTTTTTTCTGTCTCCCTGTCTTTTTCCTCTCTACTTTTCAGGGGTGGTTCTCAAGAGAAAGACAATGCGGTGTCTTCTTCCATAGTGTCCTCTGTGCAGTCCAAAATAACTCAGGTATTGTTCTTTGCTTTTATCTCAGATATATCTGTTGCCGAAGTTCACAGYCGACTCAATAAATGCACTGAGTGGTGTTCTTTGTTTCCATCTTGTGAAAAAGGATGCAYAGTGCTGTGCACTTACTCTGTTGGTTTTTATAGCTTTTGTATTGGCGAGTGTTACATTAGTTCTTTTTTATTTTCATTTTATTGACATATCCCCATCAAACCTACCATATGCTTGTTAGATGCTGTCGTGTTATATCTTTGGATTCATCTTTCAGAGTGATCAAATGTGCTCACATGCTTTTGAGTTTCTCTTTGGAACGTTGAGTACAGTTCTGATAAAAAGGAAGTAAATAGTCTTTAAGTTTGAAGGTTTTATGCATCATCAAGCGGTACAAAATCATCTGTTCCTTACCGCTTTTTAAAGTCAAATTTTATTTWTTTATTTTTTTATTTGACTTGACATAAACAAAATATGACAAATTAAACCACATGATTACTCCATTAGCAGTAGATGAGCAAAAAAGCTGAAGCTGACTGTGGWATTAAATAAATACATAATTACTCCTTCTGTGAGTAAAATGGGCATTCAYGGTCCTCTGGTAAGAAAAGGTTTGYATCATTCATGTACCTGTTAACAGATTATCTAAACATTGATTTTTCTTTTTGTCTTGACATAAACATTAACCTGAAGCTGCATTACCAACACTCATTCCAACCTCCTCTGTCAAGAGTCAATCTGTCGTTTTTAGAGCAAAAAAAAAAGGTCTTAAAACTTGTTTCTGGTTGTGAAAATCTTTGCGAGGTTTCAGTTTCTCTCTGAGGAGATAAGTGAAACCAGTGCATGCCTGTCCTCTAGTGCGTCGACAAGGGCAGCAAACTCCTAAGTTTAGCAAGACTGCAGTAAATTACAAGTTCAATGTGTTTTTTTAGATTATTATAACCCCAAAACTCAGGGGTGCCCAAACATTTTCCCTGAGAGGGCCAAAATTTAAAAAACTTTTTTCCTGAGAGGGACAAAATTAAAATCAATCTGAGGGCTGCGGGCCAAATGCAACAATATAAGAAATGCTTAATACTTAAGTAAAGTTGTTTTATTTATTTTTTTATGATTAAGCTAGCAG